TTGAAGACTAAATTGCTTTTTAATCTTATAATTGGGATTGAGATGCTCAAACTGAATTTTGGTATTAAGTCCATTGTCCGTAGAACTCACAGCCACTAATCGATGGTTGTGGACTAGGCAAGAGCTTTGCGCTGTGTTGAGATATATCTCTTCTCGTTTCCATCCACTTAACGGTGCTGAAGAAGGATGCGGGAGAGTTCAGTATCGAATAGAGAAACCAGAGTCTAGCACATGCTCAGTGAATGGGTAGTAAATCCAAAATAAAGATTACCACACATGCAATCTTCTGGGGTAATGACATCTAATATGACATTAGTGGTGACCTAAGGGGCACTGTGGGTTAATGTGCCAGACTGCAAAGCCATTTGAAGTGCAAATTTGGTGGTTCAAGCTCACCAGCTGCTCCTCAGAAACCCTATACCAGGTCGCAATGGGTCAGAACTGACTCAACGGCACTTAACAACAACAACAACAACAACAATAACAAGGGGATGTGAGCAGTCCTGGTGTAGTGCTGGAGGAGAAACACCAGACCTCTTGAAAGTATTTGAAGAGCAAAGATGTCATTTGAGGACTGAGGTGCACCTGATCCAAGTTATGGTATTTCCAATAGCTTCACATGCACGTACATGTTGAACAATGAAGAAAGAAGATTGTAGAAGAGTTGATGCATCTGATTTATGGTGTTGGAAGAGATTATTAACAGTATCAGAACTGCCAAAAGAACAAGCAAATCTGTGTTGGAAGAAGTACAACCAGAATGCTCCTTAGAAGCCAAGATGGCCAGACTACATGTTTCCTACTTCTGACATATCATCAGGAGGCACCAGTCCCCGGAGAAGGACATCATGCTTGGCAAAGTGGAGGGTCTGCGAAAAATAAGAAGACCCCCAACAAGATGAATTGACCCAGTGGCAGCAGATATGGGCTCAGGTGAAGCAACCATGGTGAGGTTGGCACAGTATTGGGCATTGTTCAGTTCTGTTGTGCAAAAGTTCGCTGTGAGTCAGTACTGACTCGATGGCACTAAACTACACCAACAAGAAACATTCAGAAGTAGTTTGTCTCTCCTTCTTCCTAGTGTTTCTCAGTCTGGAAGCTCAGCAGAAGTTGTCCACCATGGGTGACTCTGCGGGTTTTTAAAACACCGGTGGCATAGCTTTCAAATGTCACAGCAACATACGAGCCACCGTAGTGTGACAACCTTACAGAGGTGAGCTGTAGTCCTGTGCTTATCTTACAGCCCCACACCAGGACCCTGGGACAATGATTGCTGTCTTTGTTGTTAAGTGCAGAGACAATAAGAGCCCCTTATTTATATGTTGACAGAGAAGCTGAGGGGGAGGAGGACTTGG